GATGCACGTTGCCGGCGAGGGTGGGCCCCAGCCGCTCGAGGTGTGGGCCGCCCTGGACGAGGCCATGAGGCTGGCCGGGGCCGTGGAGGCAGCAGATGCAGCAGCGCTGGCAGTCGACGCCTACCTGCGCTCGGCGGAGGTCTTCGCGCTGCGGGTCGAGGACATCGTGGACGCCGACAACGACGTGGTGGCCATCAAGCTGGGAGTGCAGGAGCGGAACGAGCGCACCAAGACGGGAGTGAGGCAGGGCGTGCTGATTGATCGCCCGCACATCGCTGACATGCTGCGGGCGCGCAAGGCCGCCAAGAAGCCGGGCGAGCTGGTCTTCGGCTGCTCGGTGGAGTCCTACCGTCGGGCCCTTCGGAAGGCCAGTGACGACATCGGCATCGCCGCCTTCCCCGCCCACTCCGCGAGGCACTCTGGCCCCAGCCACGACGCGGCGGAGGGCTACCGGACGGTGTGGGCCATCCAGCGGCGGGGCCGCTGGGCTTCGGAGAAGTCGGTGCTGCGCTACATGAAGACGCACGCCTTGGTGGCCGCAAGGGCGGCTGTGCCTGCCGCCGTGATGGCTCGTGGCCGTGAGCTCTTGGCCAGACAGGCACCGCGTCCAAAGATGGCGCGAGAGTGAATGCTTCTACTCATTTGATTTTTTGGTTTGGCGGAGGCAGAATGATTTCGGCTGACGTGGCAACCCCGCCCACCCAGAGCCCTGGGCCACATCATCCAGGCGCTGTGCGTATCAGCGGTGGGTTGGGGATTGTGAGTTCAGAGCGGGGCCAACCGCTGTGCCCGTCGCCCAGCCAGCCCGCCTCTGGACTTCAGCAAAGGAAGCCGCCGCTCTCGGCGGCACCCGGATCATCTGTCAGGACCGAAAATCGTCGGTCCATCGCTGTTGCCTCGTGGTCCTGATTTCTTTTGGCTGGCGCCTTTCCGCTGCTCCTGTCTTGGGGTGAGTTTTTCGGTGGTGAGCCTCTAAATGTGTGTTGTATAAGATACAATGAATTTTTCGGGCCTCCACCTCTCACCCCTTCCCCCCCCCCGACCTTTACCTTGGACATCGGGGGGGGGCGGGGAGCAGCAGATGCGCCGTCTGTATAACGTGTTATGCATGTGTTCTCCGTCTCAAGTTCTCCCTGTTCCCTCCCTCCCTTCTTTCGTCTTCGTACTTTTCTGCCTCCTTTCCCGGTATTGGGGATTGTGAGTTCAGAGCGGGGCCAACCGCTGTGCCCGTCGCCCAGCCAGCCCGCCTCTGGACTTCAGCAAAGGAAGCCGCCGCTCTCGGCGGCACCCGGATCATCTGTCAGGACCGAAAATCGTCGGTCCATCGCTGTTGCCTCGTGGTCCTGATTTCTTTTGGCTGGCGCCTTTCCGCTGCTCCTGTCTTGGGGTGAGTTTTTCGGTGGTGAGCCTCTAAAGTGAAGCAAGACCGCGCAGGGCAACGCGCACCATGACCAAGACAACGCCGACGACTACTATGGAGACGAGGCGCACTAACAATGCGCACCGAAGCACGGATTTAGGGAAGGGCGCACACTGCCCGGTTTGGTACACAGCACATCGTCGAGCGGTACTGCGGCCTCCTACCGAGCACAGGGCCCCCCCACCGAGCAGCAGCTAGACATCTCGGGCTGCACCCTCTTGACTTGCGAATCCCCACGGTGCGTTTCGACACCCTCCCCCCAACCTCGTCAGGGCCACCGACAAGGGGAAAAGGACGAGAGGTGAAGAGGAGAAGAGGGAAGGAGCGGGGGCCACCATACGGATACGACGAGCGTGTGCGTCTGCAGTCTGCCTGCGCGGGCAACCCGGACGGGTGGCACCGCAGACTTCGTTTGCAAGAGTTCTCAGGGATGCACCTGGCGCAGCCAAGATCATCGATCTCAGAACCAGCTACGGCAACCTCCGTTCGGGAGTCCGTGCCTTGAAGCACGCCGCAAAACTGTGTTTTCAGGTCACTGTTGAGAAGCTCGTCGCCTCTCGAGATCCGAGAATCGAATCGATAAGACGGATTGGCGATCGAAATGAATCAGATCGGCGAAAATCGGCAGCCAAGGAGGGAGAAATCGAATCAACTGACAAGGACAGGCCAGTAAGGCCCCCATAGAGAAATCGGAACCCAAATCGGAATTCGAGGTCGAATCACATCGGAATCGGAATCCATCGAGATCGAATCGAACCGAGTCGGAGGAATCGAAAAGAGATCTGCCCAAGCGAGTGCCCACGTCGTGCGCCAAATGTCGTAGGGCGACTGCACCGTGCGCTGAGGCAGGAACACCGTGCGCCGCTCCTGCCACAAGCATCCGCCTGTATGTCTATGCCTCTGCCTGGCAGGCCCGAACGGCGCCCTGCAAACTTTTGGGTGGGCATCAATGTCTGGTTCGGAGGGAGGGCGGGGAGGGGGTGGGCGATTCCTGGGCTATTCCTGCCTGCGACAAGGGGCCTTTCTTGAAAGGGGCCCTAACGGGGGTGCACAACTATCAGAATCCTCCGCTCCGAGGTGTTGACACAGGTGCTGAAACACCTTGCTTGAAAGCTCCATCCCAGCGGCACCTTGGCCACTGACACGCCCTCGAGATACAGCGGACCAAACGCCCACTCCGAAACAGAGGCTTCTCGGTTCACTCCAAACCTCCTGTCAAAGAGTGCCTGAACTTAGGGCTTCTTACTTCTTGTCTAAAGAACTGGGCCTGTGTGTCCGTTTAGCGGCTCCGTATTGGCCTTCGCCGCCCCGTCGCCGCCTCGTCGCCGCCCGTCGCCTGGGCTTGTGTGTCGGTCTGGCGGCTCCGTGCCAATCGTCGCCGCCCCGTCGCCGCCTCGTCGCCGCCCGTCGCCGTTGCTTCGCCGACGCCGTCGAATTGCGCTGCTTTGCGTTGCATTGTTTTGCGTTGCTCGTCGTTGCTCTTCATTGCTTTGTATTGTCAAGCAAAGCAAAGCGAAGCATTGCCTGGCCTGCATTGCATTGCTTTGCGTTGCGTTGCGTTGCGCTGCGTTGCTTTACATTGCTCTGCATTGCATTGTTTTGCGTTGCGTTGCGTTGCGTTGTGTTGTTTTGCCTTGCTTCGAATTGCTACGCCGTGCTTAACATTGCCAGACGCTGCCATGGCGGAACAGGAGTGCAAGCGTACAGCTTCTTAAGACATGCTGATCATGTGTCAACTGCCCTTGATGAGTACGTTAGCTCTTACCACATATCTTGCATCATGCAGCTTCCACCACATAGCTCACACCACCTTGATGAGTATGTTCGTTCCTACCACATATATTGCACCCGATAGCTTACACCACGTAGCTCGCGCCACACACGTGAGTACGTTAGCTCTCGCCACATCCATTGCATCACGTAGCTTACACAACGTAAATCACACCACATAGATGAGTGCCCTAGCTCATACCAGACTGATGCGCCCCAGAGCTTGGACAACATCAATTGCACCGCATAGGCTGCACCACATATTTTGCTCCACGCTGATTGCTCCACAGAGACAGCACCACATATACGGTAAGAAACACACTGCTCGGGGTCCACGCTGGCTAACATGTTGTTCTTTTCGGGTTTAGCACCAACCCTCAGGGACGGGAGTAATTACCACTCCCATGACCGAACGAAGAACTAAGGATGCAATTGCACAATAAAGAACGTGGCCGGCCGCACTGCGCGATGGCCATCAACATGTACAGCGACGTGTCCCTGCTGACAGCACGGTGTAAGTGGGAGCCCGAGCGCTGTAGCAAGACTTCGGTGCACCCCCAACCCGAGAGCGAGATAGACGTTGCACCGTTCGTCCCCCCCTGCCGCAGAACCAGAATGGGCTTCCGGCGAATCTCTGGCCCTGGCGCGGCGAGATGCCACGACGCGGAGCCTCTGCTGGCCCCTCGTGCCGCTGGGGCGGCGCGCGATCCCCTCCACCTCCCCACGCCGTTGAGGAACCCTCCCGTGCACCTATGGCGGCGCACACAAGGGGGTGGAGGGAGGGGGGGAGGGATTCTCAGAAGGAGGCTGCTTCTCAGAGGGCGCCGGCCTTACATCTGTAGAGAAGGCCCGCGCCTTCGAAGAAGCCAGGGTGCTCCTAAGAAGCCCTCCCCCCTCCCCCCCACCCCCCACCGCGCGTGGCCGACACCTGCTGCCATCCAGCCTGCTCTCTGCAGCGGTCCGTGCCTGGCGGCTCCCCGTCGGCACTGCCGCTCCCAGGTTTGCCGACGGGACCCGGGAAGAACCGGGGCTCCGCGCGCGCGGCGGCCTGGAGGAGGAGGAGGGGAAGGGGCGGGGGGAGGAGGGGAGGGGGGGGGGGAGGGGGAGGGGGAGGGGAAGGGAAAAGGTGGGGGTAGAGGGGGAGGGAAAGGGGAAGGGAGAGAGAGAGGGGGGGAGGGAGAAGGGCGGGGGAAGAGGAGGGAGAGGAGAGAGGGGGGGAGGGGAAGAGGAGGGAGATGAGGAACGAAGGAGAAAGGAGGAGGGAGTTCGGGGGGCGCCTGCTACACACCTGCGCTGGGCCCGTCCTAGGCCCAGGGTGGGCCTGGCCAAGATCAGTGCAGTTGCATGGCCGGCGTCCAACAAGCAGCGAGGGGCCCAGAGATCTGACGCCTTGATTTTTCAGGGCGGGATCCCTAGAAATACGATGTCGACCTGTTCGCCGGGACCGGTGTTTCACCCTGCGCTATCCTTTGACTGTCCTGGGACCCAGCGAGGGGCCGCAGAGGCCGAAAACTGCGAAAAACCTCCCGCCGTGGGTTGTTCAACGGCGCAGAAGGGTGTGGGGTGGGACATGCATCCAGAATTGCGAGGCGGGGCTTTATCCAGATCCACCGCCTGCGAAACCAACGGCCTGGGGCCCCCAGCGCGGCGTGGGCCCCAGGTCGGACGAACACATAGTCATATTCGCCGCCTGCCAGGGTCCCCGAACGTCAATCCTCCAGGCCATGGCTATGGATAAATCCCTACAGAGGGGCCGAGCGGAGACGGAGGAGCAGGGCGGGAGGAAGGGGGAGGCAACCGCCGTGCGGGCCTTTGCCGCCCTTGCCGCCCTTGCCGCCTTTGCCCTTGCCGCCCTTGCCGCCCTTGCCGCCCTTGCCGCCCTTGCCTCCTGCCGGCGGCGGGGCCCTTCCCCTCCATCTCTCTGCCCGCTGCCCGCTGCCCGCCGCCCTCCCGCCTTCTTGCCTCCTCTGTCGGCGGCAGGGCACTTCCCCGGGCGAGCGGCGGGGGGCCCGGAGCGGGCACCCCGAGGAGGCCCAACCCTGAACGCCCGCGACAGCGTCTGCGCCCCGCGCCGAGGCGGCGCGGACCTGCCGCCGCACCTCCGTCGAGAGACCCGGCAAATGAGCACATGTGGGTCCCGCGACGCGCCTCGCACGCTGCCCAAGCGCGTCGAGGGGAGGCGGGCGTCACCGCCCCAGGAGCCGATCGGGCAGCCACTGGCGGCAACGGGGTCGCGGTCGCGCTCGGGAAGGCTGCCGCAGCACGCAACTGCCGCAAGCAGAAAGGGCAAGGGAGAGAGGGGAGAAGGAGGAGAGGGGAGGGGAAAGGGTCTCTTCCCTTATATAGGTGTATATATATATACACACACCTACATGCACCTCGCAATGCACCCCGCTTGTATGGTGTGTATGTATAATGAGATATCCCCCTTCCCCTCGCCTTCCATGTGTCCGTCCTCCCTCCATCTCTCCCTCTTTTCTCTTTCTGTTCTCTCTCTCTCTCTCTCTCTCTCCCTCTCTTTCTCCCTCTCCCTCTGTCTCGCTCTCTCTCTCTTTCTCTAGTTCTCTATGTCTCTATGAATGTATCTTTGTTGGTTCGCTCTCTCACTATCTCTCTATTTCTCTCTCTTCCCATGCATTCGCCACAGTGCCCTGTGGCACGAGTTGGAATGTCCTCAAGTCTTTTGGATTTCCGCGTCATCAGTCCTGAGCAAATGGGTTTAAAAAGACCCGAACCCCGACTTAACATGTTCTCTGGGGCGTGCCGCGTTTCTTCCGCGACCCTCCGCAGATTACCGAGTGACTCCTTCGGAGCCACGAGGGCCCCTTACACGGGCCAAAAAACTTCCAAAAGGTCCTCCACATGGTCCAAAAGGGCCCCGAGCCGTCAAAAGATCGCTTCAGGACGCTCACAGTGGCCTCCAGACGGCCCAAGAGGTTCCCAAAAAACCCCAAGAGGGCTTGGAGGGCCCCGAGGAGCCCAAAATGATTGATTGTCTCACGGGTTTTCAAAGTATTCACAATTCCCGCATGTACGGGCTTTCGACGCTCCAAGGCGGCTCAAGAGGTCCCGAAGACCTCTCCAAGACGGCCCAAAAGTGCATCAGGAGGGGCCCAAGGCCCCAGAGGGGGAACACGAACCGACGTGTCGAGCCCTCCGCCTCAAGACGACCTCCGAGACCGCCAGCAGGCCCCCGAGAAGACCCCCAGAAGCTTCAGGAGGCCCCCCAAGAGGTCCAAAGCAGGCCCCGAGAGACCGCGCAGAGGCTCCCGAGAGACCGCAAAACCGCCTCCAAGAGGTGCCCGAGAGGCCCCCCAAAGGATAACCACAGGCGTCCAAGAGGCCTGGGCACGGTGGCGGGATGAGCAGAAAGAAACTAAATCCGCTGCCCCCTGTGGTCTTGCCTCAGGGGTGCACGGCATGCCGAATGTCTGGCAGGTCTTTGGTTCTGTTCTGAAGAACTTCCCGTGGGCTCTCGGCCCAGCCGCCTGCCACCCTGAAAGCAGCCGAAAAATATGTCCTCGCTGGTCCCACCCGGCCCAAGGCCCAAGACGGCCAAGACGGCGTCCAAGATGGCATCAATGATGCTTACACGACGGCCAAGATGGCCCCAAGAGAGCCCAAGATAGACCCAAGATGACCTCCAAGACGCTCCCAAGATGCCTCCACGACCGCCGAGATGCTCCAAGAGAGCCCAAGACGGCCCAAGAAGCGCCCAAGAAGCTCCTAAGACGGTCCAAGATGCCTCCAAGAGGTCCTCCGCGGAGGCCCGAAAAAGCCAAAACTGTTGATGCTCCTCAGGTGGTTTCGAGGATTTGGGCATATACTTCAAAAAGGCCTTTCGACGGCCCAAGAAGCCCCCAATAGTGCCCCAGGAAGATGGCCCCAGGACGGCCCAAGAGGCCCCCAAGACGGCCCCCACAGGGCCCCAAGACAGCCCAAGGGGCCTCCAAGACGTCCAAGATGGCCTTCAAGACAGCCCTAAAGTGCCCCGAAACGGCCCCAAGACGGCCCAGAGGGGTTCCCAAGACGGCTTCCGACGGTGAACGAACCAGAAACGTCGTAAGACAACCACAAGGGCCCCCAAGAAACCCCAAGGGCGCCCAAGAGGCCGAAGGAGGCCCCCAAGAGGCCTCCAGGAGGCCCCCATAAAGCTCCCAGGAGGCGCCAAGAATGACCCAAGAAGCTCCCAAGAGGCCTCACCATCCTTCATCATTCTCCACATCCTCTTTTTCCCTCCCTCTCGTCGTCGGCCTCTTCCTCCCCCACGTGTTCCCCGAATAGCTTTCACAACGGCTGGGGGAACGCATGGTCCAATAGCATGGCCAAGCGTTGCCCAAAAGTTTGGACACCTAGGCGAATCCTGGAAGGCAGGGGGCGGCGGTGATTCGCCGTAGGCGTCTTCGATCCGCCGCCCCCTGCGGCTTGCCTGTCACAAGGGTGCACGGCGTGCCAAACTCTAAATAGTTGTTTGCCCTTTCTAGAAATTCCCAAGGGCGGTCGGCCTAATGCGCCGACCACCCAGAAGGACACGCAAAGAAAGGAAAAACTGAAAACTCGACTCCAAGACGGCTCAAATGGTTCCAAAATGCCTCCAAGACGGCTAACACGGCCTCCAATGTGGTCCCAAGATGCCTGCAGAATGGCCATTGGACGGCCCAAAGGCCCCCCAGACGGCCCGAGAAGCCCCCAAGACGCCCCAAGAGCGTTCCAAGAGGACCTCCAGGAAGCCGAAATAACTGATTTCCCAGAAAGGTGCTTCAATGAATTTAACGGTGTCGCCTTTTCAGGCTTCCAACGCTCCAAGACGGCCCCGTAGGCCCCCAAGATCGCCCCAAGACGACCCAAGAGACCCCCAAGAGGCCCGCGAGACGGCCCAAGGGAGCCCCAAGACGGCCCAAGAGGCCCTCGAAACTGCCCCAGGACGGCCCCATAGACCTCCGAGATGACCTTCAAGCGCACAAAGAGGGGAGAACTCAGGACTAACCTGAGAGGGCCCCAAGACGGCCTCCAAATGCCAAGAAGTCCTTCAGGGACCTCCACGAGGCCCCCAGAAGGCCCCAAGTGACCCCCATAAGAAGCCTCAGGACGCCCCCAGGAGGTCCCCAGGAGGCCACATAAAGGCTGCAAGAGGCCTCCTATTATTCCTCGTCCTCCTCCTTCTCCTCCTCCTCCTCCTCCTCCTCCTCCTCCTCCTCCGCCTCCTCCTGCCTCCTCCTCCTCCTCCCCCAACCTCCTCCTCCTCCTCCTCCTCCTCCTCCTCCTCCTCCTTCCTCCTCCTCCTCCTCCTCCTCCCCCTCCTCCTTCTCCTCCTCCTCCTCCTCCTCCTCCTCCTCCTCCTCCTCTTCCTCCTCCTCCTCCTCATCCTATTCCTCCTCTTCCTCCTCCTACTCATCCTCCTCCGCCGGCTCCTCCTCATCCTTCTCCTCCTCCTCCTCCCTCTCCTCCTCCTCCTCCCCCCCTCCTGCTCCTCCTCCTCCTCCTCCTCCTCCTCCTCCTCCTCCTCCTCCTCCTCCTCCTGGCTATTCCTCTCCTAAGTGTTCCCTCTCAAAGGGTTCCACGACGGCTGGGGGGAACACGTCTCCCGATATCTCGGGGAACACGTCTCCCGATATCTCCGCCAGACGTCGACCCAATGTTTCGCCGCGTGGGCACTTCCAGATGGCAGGCGGGCGGCAGTGGAGCGCCGCAGGCGTCTTCGACACGCGCACATATACACACACACACACACACACAACTCACACAACTCACACAAGCGTAAATACCGACATGCCGACCCACCTTCCTACCGACATACATGCATGCATTCATACATACCTACCGACCTACATACCTATCTACCGATATACCTACCTACCTACCTACCAGCCTACCCACCTACCTACGTACCTATGTACCTGCGTACCTACGTACCCACGTGCCTGCGTATGTATGTGCGTACGTACGTTCGTGCATACATACAGCGGTACATGTATACATACGTACGTACGCACATACGTACATACATACATGAATACATGTGTACAGTCACGCATGCATGAGTGCCTGCATGCATGCGTACATGCATGCATGCATGCATATACACATGCAAACAAAACTACAGACATGCACACATGTGTCTATACATACATGCATGCATACAAATGCATGCATATGTGCATTCATACATACCTGCATACATTCATACATTCGTATGTGCATGCATGCATACGTATATACATGTAGACATGCATGTATGCATGCATACATATATACATACATTCATACAGAACGTCATACATTGATGCATGCATACGTACATACACAGGTACAGGTTGCATGTATGCATACATACATACCTATATGTGCATAAACATGCGTGGCGGGTGTGCGTGGATATAAAAACATGCATAATAACATGATCAATATATATAACTATAAATAAATATATACCTATATTCAAAAATAACCCATACCTACAACAATAAATGTGTGAACACATACATCAACAAAGACTGGGAAACGTACACCAAGTATTTGCAAGTGGCGTGACCATTAGCATTGATTCATCAGCAAACACCTACATACACGCATACGGATACAAACTTGTCTACAAGCGAATCCGCTTACACACACACGGACACACACACACACTTTTGGGGCGTTGCGGGCTGGCGACTCGCAACACCATTGGGCGCGCGGCCGACGGCCGAGCGCGCAGTAGTCGGAAGAAAAAAACATAAAGAAATAAGGAAAAGCGACGCGGCCAGCCACTGCCCCGCGAAGGGGTAGCGGGCACGGGGCAGGGGCATGCGAGCAGCGGAAGCGGCGAGGAGGCGGCGGCCGCAGGGAGGGGCGCTGGGACGGCGCGGGGCGGGCAGCGGAGGCGGGGGGCAGCAACGGGACGACGCCACGCCAGGGCGGGCGTCAAAGGGCGGCGCGCGCAGGCGCAGCGAGCCACGCGAAAGTTCGGCGGGTGGGGCCTCGGGAGAGAGCCGGAGGCCGGCGGAGGCCAGCGGGCCGAGGGGCGGGCGGGGTGGGGCGGAGCGGAGGAAGGCCCAGAGGGCCAAGGCCCGATGGGCAGGCCGGGAGCGGCGGCCGAGGGCCGAAAAAAGGCCGACGGGCCGGATGAGGCGCGGACGCCAAGCGAGCGGCACGGCCCGATGGAAGCGGCGGGCCGCGTGGGCGACACAAACACACACACACACACTTCTTCAAGTCAGCGGCGCCAAGGGTCCTCAAGCGCAAGCAGCAGATGGAAGTGCGAATTGCGACCGAGCTTTGTCGATGGCGCAGCGTACGAGCGTCGCACACTGCAGAATGCAACCGATGGGTAGGTTGGAGGAATTGCAAATCCAAACGAAGCGTGCAGCGGCCAGAAGACGAGAAACATTTTCGACTCAAAGTAAACTGAAGCGCGACAGCCCGAGGCGAATTGCGGCCATCGAATCACCAGAGCGGTCTTAGACAGCGAAGCGCAAAGAAAAAATGTTGCTAAGCATATTCGTGCTTAGGTCACACACACACACGCACACGCACACGCACACGCACACGCACACGCACACACACACACACACACACACACCACGCGCGCGCGCGCCCGGTCCTTTCTTGCCTCCTTTGCGGCCCGCGTCCGAGACGTCGCCGCTGTCGTCGCTCCCGTCGTCCTCCTCTTCCTCGCCCTCGCCGTCGGTGGTGCTCTCCTGGCCGGCCCCCCCGGGCGTCGGAGGGCGACGGGGAGCAGCCACCGATGGCTGCCGCGAGGCCGCCGAGGGCCGCCAGCGGCCGCCGAGACCACAGCCGGCGACAGCGACTGCCAGGCGGAAGGAAGAGGACCGTCGCGTGGATGAAAGAAGTCGCCTGACTGAGACAGCAAGCCTTTCCCTTCCCCAACCACGTGGCCTGGGAGGGCGGGGCCTTCCATGGCGCCCGTGTCGTCCAACTCCTGTTGTTGCTTCAACTGGACAACAATGGAAATCGCGATGGAGCGCTCGTACAGGACGGACGAGGGAGGAGGAAAGGCAACTGCCGCAGCGGGCGGCGAGGCTGCCGAGGCTTCGGTGAGGCTGCCGCCGCCGCCCACGCTCGACACGCGGGCTGGCTGGCCGCAGCCCAGGCTTGGCAGGGCAGGCCTCCTCGCTCCGGGAGGAGGAGGAGGAGGAGGAGGAGGAGGAGGAGGGAGGAGGAGGAGGAGGAGGAGAGAGAGGGGGAGGAGAGAGAGGACGAGGACTGCGAGGAGGAGGAGGAGGAGGAGGAGGAAGAGGGCGAGGGAGGAAACGGTAGCAGCAGGAGAAACGGGCGGCAAGGCTGCCGCCAACCGCGGCCAAGGCTCGGCAGTGCAACCCTCATCAATCTTCGGATCTGGGCGCCACCCGAAAACAAACAGGACGTTTAGCTGATCGACGCTTTTTTCGGCGTCTCAACCGCGTCCTGGCCCCAGGAACGTGAATGGCTGAAAAGCTGGTCCCACGGAAGGGGAGGAGAAGGAGGAGGAGGAGGAGGAGGAGGAGGAGGAGGAGGAGGAGGAGGAGGGGGGAAGGATGAGGGAGGAGGAGGAGGAGGAGGAGGCCAGTAGAGGCCAACGTCGAAAACACCAGAAGAGGAGCAAGACCCTCCACGCCCCGATCGGCCGCAGCCCAGGCTCGCGAACGCGATCCAGCTTGCGACCCTCCCGGGCTGCCGCCCCTGCATATGTGCCACACTTCCTCGTCCTCCTTGTGTTCCCAGTTCCCGCCCTCCCTCCTCCGACCACGACTCCGAATCTGGCCCCACCACCTCCGACACCGACTCCTCCGATTCCGACTCCTTCAGATCTTCCGACCCCCTTACTGAGTTCATGACTTATCATGTGCATGTCTGTGCACGCACAAGTAAACTGTATGTAAACACATATATATATAATATATAACATGTATGATGCTCGCGGGTAAGCAAAAATGATAACTCTATGAAACTGACGGGGTGAAACACCGATGGGTACACACTGTGGGGCGGGTGAAGTTAATTGTGGGCGACCACCTGTGACCACCTGTCACGCAGATCCAACAACTCAAGCGGTCGTGCGATGATGATGACATGGCATCGGCGGCGACGACAATGATGACGATGGCGATGATGACAAACGTGGCGATATTTGACGGCGTGATAATGATGACGATGCCAATGATGATGGTGATGATGACGATGATGACGATGATGATAATGATGATTTTGACTTTGATGATGATGATAATGATGATGATGATGATGATCATCATCATCATGAAAATGGCGATGGCAATGATGACGCTGGTAACGATGGTGCTGGTGAGGATTATGTGGCAATCCATTCGCAAAATTTCAGAATCCTTGGCTTACGTCTACATCACAAACAAGTTGACTTTCATGTGTGTTGCACGCGTGCGCATTGAAATGCTGGGAAACACACGAGTATACAAGGAGTTGGACGTGCCCGCGCGGACACGCGCGCGTGCGGCACTCATGGCACTGTTCGACAAACCCGGCGGGCGCGCGCTGATTATCGGATCTGCTCGACGTGCGCGCGCGCGGCCCGCAGGGCACCATCCGAGAGAACGGCCAAAACCCGTGCTTTTCAAACAACAGCAACATCGACGAGCACGCGCGCGCGCAATTGAGGCAACTGTTCGTGAACAAACAAGTGGCTTCCCATAGCTGCTGAAAATCCGCCGACCCTGTCGGCGTGTGGAAGAGGCTGTTCCGTTTGACTCGTCCTCGTCGTCGTCGTGGTCGTTGTTGTCGTCGTCGTCGTCGCTGTCGCCGTCGCCGGTCCCCTCCCTCTCCCTGAGCCTGGCGCCGCTGCCTCCACTTTCACCAGGCCCTCTTCCTCGAGCGCGCCAGCCACAGCGAAATTGAGCAGCGCTGTAGTTGAATCGAAGGGAAGCCCCTTCCCTTTGATCCCTTCCCCGACGGGGGGGGGGTCCCGGGGGGGTCCCAGGGGGGGTCCCAGGGGGGGTCCCGGGGGGGGTCCCGCGGTGGGTCCCGGGGCAGGTCCTGGGAGGGGTCCCGGGTCCGATAGCCTCCAGACAGCTTCGGAAGTGAAGTTTCCACTCCAAGGGCACTCCCAAGAGGGCCCCAAGGAGCAAAAATCATCGATTTCCCTGAAAAGATTTCGGCATTCTCGCCTTGTCAGCTTCCCGACGCTCCCAGACAGGCCAAGAAGCCCCCAAGACCGCCCCAATATCGCCCAAGAGGCCTCCAAGAGAGCCCCAAAACGACCCAAGAGGGCCCAAAGACCGACCAAGAGGCCTCCAAGACAGCCGAAGAGGCCCCCAAGACGGCTCCAAGGAGTAGCCCAGACGGGGGACCCGAACGGACATTTCGAGCCCTCGGCCTCAGAAGCTCTCAGGAGGCCCCCAGAGGTCCCTAAGAAGCCCCGCAAGAAGCCCCAAGAAGCCCCCAAGAGACCCCCAGAGACCCCAAGAGGCCCTCACGAGGCTTCCAAGCGGCCCCCCAGAGCTTCCCAAGAGGCCCCCAAACTACCCCGAAGAGGCCCTCGAGAGCGCTCGTCTTCGTCGTCGTCGCCATTCAGGGTCGGCGGCACTGGCCGTAAGGCCTTCGCAATCTATGTAATAAAGTGGTTGGACGGCCACTGGCATTTGCTCGAGATTCTGACATGCGCACGCGGGCGCGCGCATGTGGAACGCATGACACTATTGGACAAAGATTGTTGCACAACGCACGTCTCTGATCAACGCGCGCGCACCGCATAGCATCTGTCTGCAGGAGACGAGGAAGGATGACGGTACCAACTTGGCTGGAACGGTTCCACTGTATGCATAGGGTAAACGAGGGTGAAAATACGTTGGAAAAACATAATACGCGGAGGCGAGCGGCTAATACCAGCCTCAGTGGGGAGCTGAATCTGAACCTTTTGATCAAAAGAATATACGAGGTCCAACATTTGGGTGCCACTTATGGGGCGCAAGTAGTTCTGGCACGAATGAAATGTCAACTCCGATGCTCGCGCAAACATCGGCCGCTGCTCGCTGCCACCCTCCCACCTGCAAATTACTCAGCCAGACCCATTCGGCCAGCGCTCGCGAGCAGAGCGACCAGCAGGCTTGGTAAACCCGATGCGGCCGCGATGGCGCTTACCGATGGGAACCTCTCAGCACGTCTCACAGGCCGCGCTGGCGCGCGGACACTTCAAAGTGGGTCGGTGCCTCCATCAGGCGCGAAATCATGATGACGTCGGCAACGGCGGCAATGATGATGATATTAGCGATGGTGGTGGCGATGATGACGATGACGACGGTAAGACCAATGATGCCGCGGATGCAGGTGACGACGATGACGATTATGATGTGATGTCCATGTGGCAATGATGAAACTGACTGTGCCGAGGCGGTGTGCGATTCAGATAGCGGCAATTAAATAATGGCGCTGATGAAGGTGATCAGGAGGTACGCGCGAATAAGCTAAATGAATAGGATGGTGTCTCGTAGAGTTGCATCTTGAACTGCTCTGGCACCAAATTGTTGTGAAAGAAAACCGAAACGCGCGCATGGCTGGCCAACATGTTTTCTATGATACGGGATCGTGCACTGGGCGCGTGTTAGATCAACGCGGGTGCACCGCGTGGTGAGATAATAATTCATGTTATGGACGAGCTTGTTAAAATCAGGTGATTCTCTTTTGACTTTAGCAAGTGCACGCGGGCATAAGAAACTACAATGTTTCGATTGGAAAAACAAATGCGACCTAAGGTATGCATGCTGGAACCATAGCAAAACGAATGACTGCAATATGCTTTCGACACGTGTGCGAGCGTGCAGCATTGTTTCCAAGGAAACGTGAAAACATATCAGTGAAAAATAAATGCGCGCGCATGGTATCATCTGACAGCGATAACGGGCGGGCCCGATAGAGGCTCGCCTGGGATTGCGTGATTGCATATGGAAGACGAACGATGAGGCAGAATCATCTGCAAATTTCAGTACGACAAGGTGCACAATTAACTCGGGGCGTGGGTGGCAGAGTCGATATCATGTGAAAAGAAAACCTACGGGATGCTATCTACAGGGTGCAATATGTGAGGCGGTCCATATCGATCCACCACACAGCACCGAACATGAAACACCAACTATGGATTGTCAACCAAAAAGCGCCGTGGGGGCGTTAACCATACGGCGCGAACCCTGAAACCAAGCAACAAGCATCGACCAGGAACGGGACCCGAGAGCACCGACAAGCAACGAGACCCCACTGCGACAAACTGGGCAAGCACAGGGCACCAGTCATAGAGCACCGTGCGGAAACGGCCACAGGGCAACGAACGGGCACGGCCGACTGCGTCACACACAGGGCCAAATCCTTGGAGCGCGAGTAAGAAACCCCAAGTGTAAGCACTACTGGTGGGATCTGGAATCTGGGTGTGGTGTGTGATGCAATCTGGGGTGGTGTCTTCTGCTGCGTACTATGTGGCTTACAACCATGCAGTGTATTATCCAGTGGTCGTGTCCCTGGCTGCTTTCAAACATGTGTTATACATTCACTGGTGGTGCTCTCTATTGTCTACGATGTAATTCGTTTTTTCAAAAATACAATACGGCATCCATTAGTGGTGTATATGAATGCAGCTTGATGTTGATCGCATCCACGTGTGAACAACTCCAATGCTCTTGCAAACATCGCAAGCACCCACCCGCCCACCTGCAACGTGTGCGCAAAAAAGGGGAAGCGCCAACGACGGTGATGATCAAGAGAATGACGACGGTGGGCACTATGTCGACGACAACAATATCGATGATGATAAAGCTGATGATGGTAATCATGACGGTAACAATGATGATGATGATGATGATGATGATGATGATGATGATGATGATGATGACGGTGGGATTTGTGAGGATGATGAAGCACTGCGGACACGCAGAAAGTTGACGAGCTCGACGACAACGGCGATGACGATAATGACGACGGTGGTGACGATGACAATGATGATGAAAACGATGGCAGTGGCGATGATGATAACGACTATGTAAGTGAGGATGATGAGCGCGATCGCAAAAAAATGTGTTGGATGCCTCTTGTGTGGGAGTGACTTCGACGTGCGCACGCGGAGACGCGCGAGTATGGCCCCTATGTCAGTGTTTGACAGAGCTGGCGAGCGCGCGATGGTTGCTGAACGCGTTCGACATGCGCGCGCGACCTGCATGCTCGAAGCGGATCGATGGTTTCCTAGCAAGGTTAACCAGTGCGCGCGCGGAAATTGGGCAACTCTTTCTTGTAAAACTACAAGGGGTCAAGGCTTAAAAACCAGAGATGCTGGAGCGTGTTTAAACGGCTGTGCCTTGATTTGGTGAGAAGCCCAGCGGTTGCTCGATGGATTTGACACGCGCGACGCAGCGCGCAAATGCACCTCGCAAAATATCTGCTGCACCAGAAGCATTACAGAAAGAGCAGTTTAGACCAACGCGCGCGCGCACCGCAGAATATCATTTGACAGAAAAGAATGGGGGTGCCCATTCCGAAATTGGCTGACATGTTAAGATCTTACCATGCAGATGAACAATCGTGCAACATAGAAACTGGGAGGAGAAAAATAGTGCAGCTAATCCCGGCTTCGGGGGGGGGTCTATTTCTTCTTTTGTTAAATGAAGTGCTACTCTACCGCATAAATATATATATATACTCAAGTTTACGCGAGTGGCAAAAGTACCGGTTGGGGAATACATGTGTGCCCAACTCTCTCTCTCTCTCTCTCTCTTTCTCTCTCTGTCTCTCCCCCCGCTTCTCTACCCACCTCCACCTTGCCCGGTTGCCTCCGCCACGTCGTCGATCTTGCGCTTCTGGCCACCTGTCGCTGGACATGGCAAGCAAGCTCTCCGAAACGCTCAAGCCTTCCGAGAAACCCCATGCATCCAGTCGCCCCTCGACAGCGAATGCTTCAGTCCAGGCAATTGCATGTGTCCATGCCTCGCCCCACCTTCCGAACAATGTGGACAGGGCGTGCTGGGTGGCGGCGCTGGCAGGCGGATGGCAGCGGTGGAGTGTTGCTGTTGCTTTGTTTCTTGTTCTGCGGGGGTCCAGCAGCCATAATTGTGAGGACGGCGGCGGAAGACTCTCGCGGAAGTGATCACATCACGATAGTAAGGAGGCGGGTACAGTTCACTGAGATGTCTGAATGCGCGCGGACGGATTTCCCGGAGGGGCGGGGCTCTACGCCGACGACCGCACCGTTGTGCACAGGCTGTCCAAATATGTAATCGGTAAATACACCTCGCCACTCGATATCGCTGCCATAATCCCCAGAACTTGCACCACCATCGTCAGAACCTTTTTTTTTATCCGCGGGTCGAGAGCGCACCTCTTCCGGTGTCAGAACAAAAACACATCTGCCATCTGAATCGTCGCCACCAGCATCAGAACCGGAATATCAATACCCGCTGAAAATCACTCGTCCACTGAATATGTGAAGCAGTCACCAATGCATCAGCAAAGATCCATATCACTACACGCGCCTGTACAACAACAGAGAGAGGGAGGGAGGAAAAGTGAGTGAGAGAAAGAGAGAGAGAGAGAGACACCCCGAAAGGTAAGAATCGTGTGCAGGCGGAGGAGCTGGGCATAGTGAGCATCGCAACCAGAGGGTGATGTGTGATGTGAATTCCTCCGCAGTGTCGCACAGATCGTGCCCGTAAGCGTTACGCCTCGCAAGGCAGTGGTGAAAGAGCATCAAAGGACATGAGTGGTGCTGGTGGCAACGCTGCTACAGCTGTGATGGCGGTAATGGTGCTGATGCGCGTGCCGTCGGTTCGAAAATGACGGCGGTCGAGCTCACAGACCACTCGTGGAGGCGTGCCTCCTCCTCCTCCTCCTCCTCCTCCTCCTCCTCCTCCTGATCCTCCTCCTCCTGCGGCGACAAGGGAATTCCAGGAGGCCCAGAAAAAGCTAACCACGCCGGGGCTCCCCCATTCGGGTGTTGCCAGAGGTGGCCCTGGGCCCAAGGGTGCCCCCAGCTCTCCCAGCAAGGCCCAGGTGCCCTTCAGAGCACCCCCCCGCCCCGAGAGGGCGCGGAAGTCTGAGGCCACCTTGGGCCAGGATCTCGCAGACTCCAACCTCCTCCCTCCCCGTCCGTCCCCCTCATCCTCAAGTCCTGGCCCCGTGCCAGAAGCAGAACGGCAGGGAGGGACAGGGGGGGAGGAACGAGAGGACGAGGACGAGGAGGAGGAAGAGCAGGCAGGAGGAAGGAGGCAGGAGGGAGGAGGCAGGAGGGAGGAGGGAGGAGTGAGGAGGAATGAAGGAGGAGGGGGGCCGAAGAAAAGATGGAGAAAAAAGTATCCTTCGCCAAAATTGGCGGCCATTCGGTCCAACAGCCCTGGCGCACGCGAACGACGGGAGCAGCCTTCGGCTCCCTTCGGAGGTGCCCCCCACGGGCGTGCCAAAGACCTGCTGAGAGAGCATCTCCGGAACTGTGGCGGGAGCACGGGGGGAGAGGTGAGGGGAGGAGGGGGAGCCCAAACCCCCTCGCATCGTGAAAGAATCACGACGACCTGTCTCGTTGCTATTATTTTCGGCTTCCGGAGGCCATCACTGGGCCACAGGACCGTCAGGAACCTGCTCGGAATAGAACCAGTCCAGGTAAAGGGGTCGAGACCTCCGGCGGTACAACTTGTGGAGGAGGAAGTTTTCGGGGGCAGAGGAAAGCGCTGGCCAGGCCACTCATGGCCCCAGGATCGGTGCATACACGTTTCTGGCCAAGCCACGGGAGCGTATCCACCGATCCTGGGCCCAGGATGGGCCAGGATCGGTGCTCGATACTTTGCGCTCGCCGAATAGAGTGACCAGGAAAGGCAAAGAGGAAAGACGCGAAGAGGGATGAGAAAGAAGGAGTGGAGGAGGGAAAAAGCGGTAGATGCGCAAGGACAGGGACATGGTAATGGAGGGTAAAACCCAAATGGAGACGGAGACGGAGAGCTATCATGAGACGGGTTCTGAACCGAGCAGAAAAGTGAGTGAGAGTAAGATGCCGAACAACATAATTAAGATTTGGGCAAAGGCGGGACGAGGTGCACAAGGATGGAGGCGATTGTTTTGACCCAGGCCACCCTGCGAAGCAGGCTGCGCCCCCCCGACCTGGCCGCAATTCTTGATGGTGACCTGGGCGCCGCGCGAATTGTTCTTGCCCACCCCACTCGTCTCCAAGAATGGCCACCTCACCTCCCAGCACCGGACGACTGTCCGGTGACAGCACGCTGACCACAAACCCCGCAGTCAAGCGGCTGCCCGGGTCACCCGTACGTGAAGGGGGCACGGTCCTGATCATGCCTTCACCGAGACACGTTTTGCAGTCAGCGGGCGCAAAGATGCAGAAGCGGTCAAGAGCCGGTCGGGTTGAAGGCGGGGCGCGCCGAAGCAAGTCAGGGCACAGTGGAAAGGAGAAGATCGGAGCGGAGGCGAGAACAGCGCCGCTCAGATCGTGCAGATCTTCACGGGGTTCCACCGAGAGAACGTGCCACCGAGAGAACGGGCGGGCTGCTTTCCAAGCAGTGGAAGGCCGGGGCAGCGGGAGGCCAGGGCCAGAGCACGTAGAGGACGGCCTGGGATACCTTCAGCAGTACACCCATACACAACCGCGCAATCTCCAATCACAAGCACGTAGACTGCGCAGAGTTGCTGGTGTTGTGCGAGCAAAAACACCCGAGACGTACCCAACCCCTTCTCCACGCGAGGAGGCCATCCGTATGAGTGCTCCCTATGCACGATATGCGCTGCCCTGGACCCCGCCGCGCCTCCCAGGAGCCACGAGGGTGGCGACAGATGCGCAGGTCGCAGCCCACGAAAGAGCCGCGAGGTCTGAAATTACCCGCGTTGCCCTGCAACTCCGCCGTGCCTCCCAGGAGCCGACGAAAAAAGGCGACAGATGCGCAGTTCGCAGCCCCGGAAGAAGCCGCGAGGTCTCAAATCACCCGCGTTGCCCTGCAACTCCGCCGTGCCTCGCAGGAGCCTACGAAAGTGGCAACAATTGAGCAGTTCGCAGCCCCGGAGGTAGCCGCGAGGTCTCACATGATCCGCGTTTCCCTCACCTCCGACATGCCTCCCAAGAACCCACAAAAGTGGCGACAAATGCGCAGATCGCAACCCCCGCCCCGAGTTAGCCGTGGGGTCTCAAATGATCCGCGTCGCCCGCCCTCAACTCCCAGGAGCCCACGAAAGCGGCGACAGATGTGCAGTTCGCAGCCCCTAGGTAGCCGCGAGGTCTCACATGATCCGCGTTGCCCTTACCTCCGCCATGCCTCCCAGGAGCCCACGAAATTGGCGACGGTCGAGCAATTCGCATCCTGCGAGGGAGCCGCGAGGTCTCAAATGATCCGCGTTGCCCTGCACCCAGCTGCGCCTCCCAGGAGCCCACGAAAGTGGCGACATGTGTGCAGTCCGCAGCCCCAGAAGGAGCCGCGAGGTCTCACATGCTCTGCGTTTCCCTCACCTCCTCCGCGCGCCCCACTAACCCACGAAAGTGGCCACTGTTGAGCAGTTCGCAGCCACAAAGGGAGCCGCGAGGTCTCAAATGATCTGCGGTGCCCCTACCCCGCCGCGCCTCCTGGGAGCCCACGAAGGTAGCAACGGTTTGCAAGTCGCAGCCGCCGAAGGAGCCGCGAGGTCTCAAATGATCCGCCTTGCCCTCACCTCCGCCGTGCATCCCAGGATCCCACGAAAGTGGCGACAGTTGCACAGTTCGCATCCCCCTAAATAGAAAAGGTACGGATGCAGCAGGAGGATGTAGGAGGTAGGAGGCGACGAGGAGGGGATGAGGGAGACCACAGCGACTGATTCACGGCGAGAACCCAACACAGGAGGGTTGGGAAAAAACTCGGGGGTAATGAAAAGAGCAGGTCACGCAAGCACTGCCGCCCCTCACGCGGCTGAGCACGACCCTAGTCGAGCAAAATGACCACGCATCTGATCAATACTGTAAAGCCAATCACGGCGACACTGCTGCCTGTCACACCAAGTCGGGTTTGTCTGGGGGGACTGGTCTTTAGAGGGCCCCCGCGTCAACGACAATCGCCACGGCAGCTCAATACGCCAACTCGATTCATCAACTCGCATGAATACTTCAACTCAGTACGTCAACTCGGCGCGTCAACTTGGTTCCGGCTCGTCAACTCGGTGCGTCATCTAGGGTCCAGAATGCACTCTCCAGAATGCAGTCTCCTCGGGTAAATTTCCAATGAAGGAGGCGATCTCTGCCACAAAGACGTGCACAACCCCCCCTAACCACTGCGCCACGGTCGTGGACAGCGTGATCACATGGAACTCGTCTGACGATCGGCGACTAATTACCCGATCGGCGCTCGCTGCGATCGCGAGCAGAGGTCGCGGCGCGATTGACCGGCACGGCCGCGGGACACAAATGGGGCGCACCCATCGGAGCAGGGGACGGCGGGATCGGGCCATCCATAGCTTACGCGCCAAAGCCACTTTACAGATCCTGGTGAGGAAAAGCGAGAAGGACCCAACGTGGCCCTGCGCTGGGATTAAACAACGCATAGGTGAGCCGCACGGCCCTGTGTTGACCACGTGTGGGCGATTGGAGGAGAAAACACAGAAGAGGAACAAGAAACACTAACGGCAAAAAAAATCCCGCAAGCGATGATACCGTATTCCCTGCCCAAGCACAGCAGGGAAGTCTCCCAGCATAACATGGTGTCTCCACAAATTACCCTTCAAACGCTGAGAGCTGTGTCCATTCAGAAGGCTGTGGTCAAAATGCTGGGAGGGTGTGGTAAAAACGCCAGACTGCCCAGATACGAAAGACGCACGACTGCAGATGAAGTTGAACAGGGGGAGATAGGGCAACTGAAGCCAAATACACACGCCTAAGCTCTCTTCCGTCGAGACAGCGAGGTCAACCATACTCGCGATTGGCAATGCAGAACGTCCAGGTGAGCTGGGCCACACAAGAAAAAAACAGAAGAAGAATCGATTGCCTCGATAAGATATACCAACTCATCACCGCATGATCGGCCAAAATCGAATCGCTGACGACTCTGAAGGCAGCATCCGTCAAACTCATATACTATCATTTACTTACTTATCCCCCATGAGAGAAGTGGCCGTCAAAAGATGCGCAAAGATCAACTCGGCAACAACGCGAACCTTGGACGACGTCCGGCCACTCTGGCTGCCCGTCCTGTCCATCTTCTTCACAACGTCTATACCAGAAACGACCTTCCCGAACACGACATGCTTGCCGTTCAAGTGAGGCGTGGGTCCTGGCGGTCATGGGCAAGAACTATGATAGCGACCGATCGTGAAGGAGTGCACCTGTTACCAATGCCGTGGGGCCGTCGAGAAATATAGTCAAACACCCCGCGCAAACGTTTCCCACTGAAGCAAGACTGTGGACGTGTGAACAGCAAACGATTATTCTCCTCTGGCTCTCCGCTCCTCTCCTCGTGATCCCAATTCCTGCCCCTCCCCTCTAATTCACAACGGTGCGTTCCAAGCCACTTCTATCGCAAAATTGGACGCTGGGTTTTCAGAGTCTCCTCCGGCATCTCCCCAGAACCCTTCACCACCACGGCCCTACGGGCCCAGGACGTGCCGATAGCCACATCATGGAGTGGAAGGCAATTGTGAAGCGGCTACATGTAGATCACTTTCGGTCGACGCTGATCTAAGTACAGAAATTTAATGTCGAAGCATGTGAGAACTGTCGTCGGTAGATATCGGGGGCGGCCAAGAGGGGGGCGTCCAAAAGAGGGAGGGGGGGGGGGGAAAATCATGGCCGGCGGCATGTGCTCGGCCCAAGGGGGGGCCAGGGACGTAATGAAATAAGAAGAGGCGACATGAAATCTGGGGAAATGTCATGGCCCACGCCATGATATCCACCACCCCTAGTCATCACCCCCCTCTTTGCCGCCCCCGAGGATAAATGAATCACTCCTTCCTGGCAGACGGACGGCACGCTCCAAAGCAATGACGGGCGCCGGGCCACGGCAGGCTCACTGGGCCGTTGGGCGTCGGAGTCACCGTTTTGATAGAGCTCGTCAGACTTGAGCTGCTGGGAGCGGACCACACTCTTGCGAGACAGGGATTTAACCATGTCCACCGCCTAGGGACCGACGTCCTGGTGCCCCAGCGGGCGGTGGATATGCATCTATGTTGGCCCCCGAGGCCCGAATATATCCAGATCCACCGCCTGCGGAGGTCCGCGAGGATCGATCCCCCAGGCGGTGGATATGGAGAAATCCCAGCCTCGGAACTCTCCCTTGACCACCGCTGCACGGGACAAAAAAAGGAACCCCGCCACACCCTGCCTTCAGACTTCGCCTGGACCAGAAGCCAATCTTGTCAGCGCCAGTTTGGAGGGAGATGGCGGAGGAAAGTTGAAGGGAACGACAGCGCGACGAAATCCCGCACACCCTGGACAAGAACCCCGCAGCATCTCAAGGGCACGCGAGGGGGGGGAGGGCACGAGGGGCCGCTCCCCGCCGAAACCCAGGAGGAGAAGCCCACCATTGGGGGTGAGACATTCGGAAGGCCAGGGCAAGGCTGCCAGCGACAAACCACGGAACGCAAGAGAAAGGCGATTGTCATCATCCGTTCGACTTAGCACCTCCGGAGAATCACTCACGACTGTTCCATGGTGACCACGGCGTGGCACTCGCCGTGGAGGGAAAGCCAGCCGCAAACAGGACAGGCCGAGTAGAGCAGGTGCGGATGGGGACAGAACAAGGCGGCACAAACCAAGCGCAAATTGGAGGAAACGAACCAGGCAAGGCGCAAACAAGACGCAAGCACGAGCGACCGTGCCAAGCGCGGACGAGACAGGCGATCCAGGCCAGGCGCTAGCATAGAAAGACAAAAAAACACGATGCGCAAAGAGGAAAGGGGCAGGAGTAATCAAGCCAGTCGCGAACAATAGAAAGTGACCGAAGCCGAGCACGAACGAAACCGCGCGAAAAGAACAGGGCAAACGAGGCCACCCGCAGGGAACAGCGTGACGCATCCCAAGTACGCACAGGACTGGGCGAACCAAACCAGCCTCGAGCAGGGCGGGCGTCTGGGACCGAGGCGAACCGAAGCAAGCGAAGACGGGGCAGACATGACCAGGCCAGCCACGGGCTGGACAAAGGCGAGCCAGGTCGCGCGCGACACGGCGACCTGGGCCGAGCACGTGCGGGATAGGGTGGCCAAGGCCAGGCGCGAGGAAGACGGGGCGAGCCAGGCCAGGCGCGCGCGCGAACCGAACAAGGCACTCCAGATGGACAATCGATCATCGCGTGGCACCCACACCAGACCTTCAAACGAACCTGCAGAACTGACAAACACCGCTGATCTGAATAACAAAAAATGCATTAGAGAAGGATGGGTCCCGTCCAAATGCTGTGAATCCTTCTTATCTATGGGAACGGTTACACCAAAACTGACGGCTCAAACAAACGTCAAACCGTTCAAGCGAAACCAAATGGCCAACCCCAACACTGACGGCTAAAACATCAAAGCAAGAAGAACAACCACATCAACAAACTGTTGGCCCTCGACGATGTTCCCCACATCCTCAACATGATCGATGCGCCAACCACACAATGCAGAACGACGTCGTATGTGATGCGTGCCACTCGGAATTCGAGCGATAATGGACCGATCATCAAACGCGAATGCAGCCAAACTCTGACACGCCCTACACCTCACGCTCACTATGCCCTGAAGATGAGATCCCATGGCCCTGGTCGAAGCATGTTCGAGCATCGACGCTCCCAGAAAAATGGACAGCGTTCGGCCACCACGCACACCACAGAAATCTCAGGAAATGCCTTGAGCCAAACGGTAGGCTTGAGGAAGACCCGTCCCGGACATCCTGTCGCTGCCCTGAACCGGTGTTCCATCCCAGACTGCGTTGTTCAACTGTCTCGGAGCCTGGGGAGGGGCCCCGAGAGACCGAGAACGGCGCATAACCTAAGGACACGTTTCCTCAGGACCTTCTCTCTTCAGGCCGAAACCCGCCTAAAACCAAGGCGGTGCAAGTCAGAAAATCTCACCAGGACGACCATGCCCGCGGCCCAGGCTGACAGTCGGCCCCAGTAGCCAGCGATCACATCCAGCAATCCCAATAAGTGAACCACAACACTTCATGAGTGACCGCACGTGGGATGCAAAAGAACATACGAATACTATGTGCTGAAGTTGGAGGCATACGTCCGACACGAATAGATATCTATATATATATATACACAACATAAATCTTAGAATAGATCGACTGCCGAAAATCATGGCCAAGAAGCGCCCGCCACGGTTTACACTATGAGACTTTTGGGCGTACGCGTCGCGCTTGCGGGGCCAACGAGCATAACATAAATATGTTTGGCCGGTGAACAGCACAATTGGAACGCAATTCCATCCAACCGCGAGGTCGTCCTGTGCAGATGAAGAACTGAGAGCCGTTCGTATTGCGGCCGGCGTTGGCCATCGACCTCAAGCTCACACAAGCCAGAAAATGATAACGAGAAAAAGAAAGATGGCACCACATGGCCAAATGCGTCAAATGTATCGTCCTCCCCACCCTCCCCTTTTTCGCTTTGCCTCGTCGCGCCTCCTTTTGCCCCTCCACTTCCCCCACGAGCTGCCGTCCGACCCTCCCCCCTGTCACGAATACCTTCGGCACAACGGCCAAAACTTATGTTGTGGCGCGTGTACCTGCTGCTTCCGTTCTTCCGACTTCTGCGTATCACTCGATATCGGCTATAGATATAGACCCACACGCAAACCTACAGATATGTAAGTGAACCACACAAACATGCATCGTACTCCTCCTAGGACCTGCCTCCCGCCGATGACAACACAGGCTCTACATGAACTACAACCACGAGCGAACTTCGCGCAAAGGTTCTGGAATGATCCAGCCCTTCACAACATCAGAAGTGCATGCAGATGTAAACCGGCCGAGAGCAATAATGTATGCAACGAACTGCAAGCGCAACGAGAAGCAATCCCAAATAAAGAACAGACCGGCAAGGCAACACTGGGGAAACCAAATCAACGCAAACCACAAAAATAGCTCGAATGCGCGATGCAAAATACAAAACCAAACCGAATATAGAAACCTTGGAAAACAATCGGAATGACGACGGCTCCTCTAACCTCTGGCACACGCAGCCAGCGGCACCCAGCCACGACGCCGTGTTCGGCGTGGTCGCGGCGCCAAGCAACGTGCGCAACCGACACGAGAGGACAACGGGCAGGGCCATAAAGTGCACCGAGGCGAACCAAATTCATCCGCGCGTGGGCCCGCACCACGCGGTCCTTACTGGAGCGGGACCGCAGCCGGAAATGCGAAAAGAGCGACGCACGCCCTGTGGCCGCGCAGGTCCAAAACGGAAAACCTGCAGTCGCCTTGGACGTAAAAGTCGCCTCTCCGGATGAACACGGCTGCAAGCTTCAAAAAAATGCGCAAGGTCAAATCCCACGATTGCACGAAAAGGCATGCAAGAACCGATCGGCCCGTATAAAGTCGAACATGGCCAATGAAAAACAAGAACGGTTTCGCAGTGGGTGCCGCTTGCCGATGGCCTTGCGCACTCGGTAAGTCAAGGGACGCGCGATCACAGCAGCGATCCGACCCACAAGCCTGCACGCCTTGGCCGGCTGGAACTTGCACTTGCCAACACACACACACACACACACTTTTTGCGTCGGCGGCTGAGCAGAAGCGACTGCTCCAGCGGATAGGCAACAGGGGACACGCTGTATGCAAATTAGGGCCGCAATACACGGATGAAGGAGGAGGAGCCATGGCGCGACGGGTAGAGAGGAAGCTGGGCCACTCAGAACTACCGGCTGCGGCGGGGGGAGCGCCGGGGGGGGAGGGAGCAGCGAAGGCACAGGCTGTACTGAACTGCGCTGAGCTGAAGCTGGGAGGGGCAGTCAGGAGCTGCACCTCGTGGTGAAGAGAAAAGGAAGCGTAGCCCAACCTGGTGGAACGAGCAGTTCAGGGATGAGCCACTGCGCGGAGACTGGCGGGCCTGCAAGGCGCGTGCGAGGATACGGGGCAGGCCAGAACGGACCAGCCCCAACTGCAGGCACTGCGCCGCGGGCACAAGGGCGGGTGCTGGACGGCACAGAGCTGGATGTGGCTGAAGCAGGTGCCGAGCGGCACAGAACAAAAGCAGAAGAAAGGCAGCCATGGATTGCTTTTCCCGGATACATATATATACACACACACATATATATATATATATATATATCAAAATTCGGTTGAACACTTAACGAAATACAAACGCAAAAAAACATGGCGCACGCTGCCTGCCCAAAACGAAAGAGAAGGGGGAGGGAAGAAGGAGGAAAGGGGAAACAGCTCACTGAAGACGGACCGACAGAAAAATAACGGGGGGAGAACAGGGGGGCACGACCGACAACCGCGAGAACCGCAAACCCCGATGCAACGATGTACACCAAACGCACGGCGGGGAGGACGAAAGGAGGAACCCGGAAGGGGGCCGGAGACGACGCGACGGCAGCAAAACAGAAGCAGAGGAGGACGGGAAAGGGGGGAGGGAAGGAAAGAAGAGAAAACGGCACGGGAACGCGCTTCCACAAAAAAATAAAACGGCGAACCATACGAACCACTAAAAGCAACATGGAGTTCTTCTTGCCCGGACCTCCGCGGAGAAGGCCAAACCACCCGAGCGAAAAACACCCCCCCAAAAAAAAAGAAAGCGAGAAACAAGGCGGAACGGGGAAAGAACGTAGGTACATACAGGTTTCAGCTGCACCCATGGAATAAAACCTGCACTATATGTAAGAAAGGCTGTTTGTGTCGACGGCCGCGCAAAAGGGTGGCGCGCCAGTACCACTCCTTGCGAGGAGTACGCGGCCGGCTCTCTGTGGTGCGACGCGCAATTTTGGAGATAACTAGGAAGTAAGCTTTGGAACAACTACACACATGAGACAACGGCCACACTGTCTGAGAATACATTGCACACATGGGACATGGCGAAGGCTGAACGCAACACGAACCCGATCGCTTGGAAATGTGATTATTGCTGGCGGTGGTGACAACGCTCCTTCTCCCCCCCCGGGTCCCGATGCTGCGCGGAGCGCAGTAGGGACTTGTTTTAAGCCACTGCGCGTTCGGCCCTTCCCACTCCTTCTCGTCCCCCATCGCTTTCCTCCGTCGTTGTGCTCTGCAGCTGTTCCTTCCCCCCTTCCCCCACCCTCCCTCCCCCCCTCCCCTTCTCTCCTCTCTTCTCTTCTTTTTCTTCGCCTCCACTGCGTTTCCTGGACGTTTCGCTACCGTTTCTAGGGCCGCGCGGCGTGGGAATTCTTTTCTCTGCTGGAGCACCCGGTGAAAATGTTCGACAGCATTGTTTTGTCAATCCTCCCCTTCTTCGCGCGCATTCTGCCGCTGTTCGCTCTCGTCTTCTCGTGGCCAGAGTGCTGCCTTGGCCGTAGACCGAACCGACGAGAGTCAGCAAAGCGGCGTCTCCGTCAGTTTTCACGCTGACGCGTATACGTGTTTGCGCAAGATGGAGTCTGTCATTGCGTTCTGCCGTTTTCTGTATGATGATTTCCTTACGTTCTCTTCTGTTTAAGCGCTGCCAGAGAGGCCAAATAACGCGCGGTGAGAGTCACGCGCTGCCGCGAGGCTCATAGACAAGAAAAGAGGGGAAAACGAGAGAGAGAGAGAGAGAGAACAACCAAAAAAAGGGACAGAAACAGAGACAGACAGAGAGAAGGGGAGAAAGAGAAAGAAAGAGAGAGAAGGCCCGACGGAGGGAGGAGCCGCGAGGCGGGAAAAACGGCGGATTGGCAACACGCACGCTGACAAATCGCAAGGAACTCGCCAAGTCTGGTGGTTCTGGCCGGGCAATCGCTCCCCAGTTTAAGCAACAGCTCCGGGGCTTGTAATCTCCAGTCAAGGTTTACGCGCGTAGTATTCGGCGACCTCGTTCTATAATGATGTTGAACCCCTCTGTTGTGGATTATCTTCCTCGTCTGTCCAAACAAAGTCCACGCTCCCCAGAACGCTACACAGTGCCAAATCATGTTGCGTTCGCTCGGGTTGTCTCTGCTCGCAGTTGCAGGTCACCTGGGCGCAGTTTGACGCAAGGCTGAAGCCATTCGGGTTCAAATTATCCAGCTCAAGCTAGCCGGTCCAAGCAATCTTGGCACGAGCTATGCGTCAAGCCCGCCGCTGCGGCGGCCAATCCCTACGGGCCTGTCGCTGGGGCCAACCACCACGTGATTACATCCCAACTGCCTCACAGTTCGAGACCACGTCTGGCGCTGCTGCCGCCGCGCCCCCTGGCAAGCAGACTGGCGCCCATAATATTTCTCTCGTCGCGAAGGCGACGCAACGGGACCTCGTGGACGACTTTCCGACCGAGCCAACGCCGTCAAGGCCACCTTGACACACTCGCCCCGGGGTGCTCCTGAACACCAGAAATCACGGACCGACGATTTCATGGATGGTCTGCAGGATGACGCGCAAGAGCAGCTTGCCGCTTTGCCCGCTTTTCCAAGCGCCGGAAACGGAAGCAAAAAGCCGATCGCCGCTGCCTCGGCAACGGCTGCTCCCAGAACCGACCCTCTGGGCGTCAAATCCGGCGCACGCAAAAAAAACCTTCGGGCTACGGGCGGCAGTTCCGGCTCTGAACTGAGCGCCGCAGGCGCCGGCCCCATAGGGCGGCAGTCCTGGAACACCCCTTGTGGCGGCGTGAACGCAGCTCCCGGGGCCGGCCCCGAGGGCGGCAGCCCCTGTGCGCGGCTCCGCCCGGCATGCGCTGAGCACCGTGTCGGCCCACTGCGTCTGCCTCGATGGGCGAGAAACTCACCCTTATCCAAAACATGGCTACGAACGACCAAGTTGTATCCAAAGGAGCGGGATCGCATTATTCACTGGGCATTTGGAGAAAGGTCCTCGCAGAAGTCGTTCTTTGCCACCTGCCTCTTTTTGCGACTTTTTCCTGGACGGAAAAACAAACAACGCCACCTTACCTGTGGCCTCACAGGCCATCGCGTTGAACTCCAGCTTGGGTTTCTCGCGCGGCATGCGCCACGGCCCCCGATGGGGCGCAGCGCAACATGGAGGACAGCAAGCGGGGTGGCGCGGCTCGTCGTCTGGTCGACTCTGAACGCAACACTCGGATGGATTTAGACGGTTTGTCATCAGATCAGAAGCTCTTTGTCTCGCACGGCGCTGCTATCGAGGTAAAATTTGCGAAGACAAAAATGAACCAGCTGAGAAATTTTGCACTGCGGAGTGCAAATGATGAACTTCAAGGCACTGCGTCGGGGATACCTTTCGTTGCCGACTGGAGAGAGAATATTATTCATATATGTGTATTAACAAGTGTGTATATAGATTGGTTTTAGATTGGTTATATATGCATATACTTATACACATATATACATATATATATATATGATAATAATAATAATAATATGTTTTTTATCGGCGTTTCAACCAGGCCCC